AGTGCGTGGACCTGCAAGAAGACCACACTTTTCTCGGGCCATTATCTCCGTAACCGTTCAACTTTGGATATAGGTGTTTTGGGTTATATCGGCATACTTTAACATAAGGAACACCCTCCCGAAGTTTGGTCCATTCCTCCTGGGACACCCTGTATATACTCTGATTAGATGACATGAACATCCAAGGCAAATGAGGTCCATAAAATCATAAAGAATGAATTTCACAAACAAGTAGGCTCCAAACTCAAGTAGCCTACTCCTGTTAATTCTTGTCCATGTAGGACTTTAATCACTGTTCAATGACTGTCAAAACAGAAAGCAAAACTGTACTTTATATGAATCCCACTTACCAGGCTGCAACATATCTTCTGATAATGGCTGCCTGCTGAAAGGGTCAGTAGATGAGTTGAGCAAGTGTCGCATAATGACGGGTCGATCCATTACCTTGCCAGATGGTAGTGTCACAGGATCCTCCATCAGGGTGTCCATCAGTGGATCTATCACAAACAGTGAACACTAATACAACTGGAACGGTGCTCAGACGGATGTATATTCAGTGAAACCTCAAATACTAAGAGCTAATTATTGATTTTTTTTACAACAAACTCAAAGGTTGGACCTGTGGTCATTTTAATGCCTCTGAATGTACAAAAAACTGCTTTATACAAAATTCATACGCAAGATTAAAACTGTAAGATAGGCCTTAGAGGATTGTTTACGAAAATGAGATAGCTTCTTTTTTTTAATTCATTCAGTGAGGGTGGAGTCCAACTGGGTCCACTCGACACGGCGGCCACTCAATGGCCTATTGTACCTGCCCTGGGTGATTATGACGGAGAATTTGGTGGAATGAAAATTGGCAGGGAAAACCTAAGTACTCGGAGAAAACCCGTCCCAGCACCACTTTGCACACCACAAATCCCACTTGACCAGACCCGGGATCAAACCCAGGCCGCTGCAGTGGGAAGCCAGTGACTAACTGCTTGAGCTAAAGCGGCCTCCGTAGTCTAGAGGTAACGTTCCCACCTCATGACTTGTAGTACACAGGTTCAAATACCCGGCGGAGGTCGTCGAATTTTTAAGGGCGGAAAAATTCAGGGAACAAGTCCTCCGGGAGGAACTTTAAGCCGTGGGTCCCGTGTCGTAGCTTTACGGCACATAAAAGAACCTCATATCTCCAAAGGAGGTCACTGAGCCAAATTACGGACGTTTCCCACCCAACAGCAGTCTCTAATACCTCTGGTAGATGGGGGAAGCATTATAGATACCTCTCAGCTAGTAGAGCCGGTCTCACTGGTTGGGCGGGACTGATGGTAAGCACCAGTACCGGTAGGATATAGAGACTGGTAGAAATCATAGAGGGTAGCACAATGGACCAATACAGGTCTAAGTGCATGGGGAAACCCACCCTCTCCAATAACTAACTAACTGCTTGAGCTATGGTGCAGCCATGAGATAGCTTAGTCAGTATGGCAATGGGCTATGGGCTGGATTGCCAGGGGTTGATTCCGGGTAAGGGCAAGATTTTTCTCTTCTTCATAACATCTATATCAGCTCTAGGGCCCAACCACCATCCTATACAATAGAAATCACGGAGGTGGGGGCTCTTTCCCTAAGGATAATGTGGCCAGGTGCTGAGGCTGACCACTCACCTCCATCTAGTGCCATGGTCTGGTGAAACTGTACCTCCATTTCCCCATATGCTTTCATGGAACAGTCTTTAATTAATTAAGTGCAGCAATAATTTTACAAATATGAAGTCGCATTTCTTAAGGAGTCATCATTTATAACAAAATAGGAATGCAGATCAAAAAATGACAAGGAAAAAGACAAAACAGAAATTTTGTATGGAAGCGAAATTTGGGTCAAGAAGAACAAACATGTTAGTAAAATTCAAGCAGCAGAAATTAAATTTTTAAGAAGCGTACTGGGATGCACCAAATTATACAAAAATAAAAATGAAGACAATTGGAAAGAATTAAGTGCTTATTCAGTAAATAGGTTAACCTTTAAAGTACAGACTTTTAAACTGTCGAGAGCCCGCTGCGGCCGGAATATAAAGGGCCCTAAGTTTTTAAAGTTGCAGCCTTTCAGAAAAAAATAAATATTTTCTGTTCTATGCAATATAGAAATATGAAACTAAAAAGAGACTGGAAAACAATAAAATTTTCTACATATACACAATAGAGCAATTTTTACAAATGAAAATATGCTGTGATTATTTTGTCATGAAATGCAAAATATCATCTTTATTATATATATTGTGACGTGGATGGTGTATTGGGAGGTGGGGGTCGCGTGAACTCTGTGATCTCGCGAGTGACGTCGCATACCCCCACTCCATCCATCAGTGTGCAACGGTCGGTAGACACCCCTTTCCCCGCGGTGACGTAACATGGGATGCCGCAGTTGCTACATAGCCGTAAACAACTCCCGGCAGCACTGCTGGGACTTACCCATAGTTCTTTCTCTAAACTTCAGACATGTTGATTTTCTAAAAAAATAATCACACTATATAAAATAATCCTTTGTTCAGACTGTACGCGAGTATAAACTGCATCGCTTCACAGTTTCTGATAACTCCATTCAGTGCTCACACTCTAACGCAAAGCAGTCCTCGACACACAGACCAACATCACACCTTTTACAATGGAAGAGGGTGCTCCTGGTTTTCTTATTTAGCGAATACACATGACATCTTTGTTTCCATTTGGGTGGCCAGTGTTGCAAATGTTTCACCTCTAGTTGACTCAGTTGGGCTCCAGATGAACTTGGTCTCCCCCGAGGAACCCCACTGACTGGGCCTCACTGGAGAAATGGCACTGGCCGTGATATTCACTTCATGCGAATGTACGATCAAATCTCGCAATAGGATTTCATGGAATTTTTTATGTGTCATTTTTCCACCACATGACTTGTGCAATAAATAGGCACTGAGAACAGCCATGTCTGAAAGGTGGAAAAACAATTTCTTTGTTGATTTCCATGTCCTCCGAGCAATTCCATAACTATTTACCATCCTGTCAGATTTATCCACAAAGCCCATATGTGCACTGTTGTCTTCAGTGGCTTTATATCTCTACTGAGACACAAAATAAAAATTGTTTTATAAACGAATTGTGGGAACATCCCACATTATCACGCATTTCTGCAACGCTCGCTCTTCACATCACTTTTCACCATCACGCGCGCTAACCAATCAGATTGCTTCAAACATTCGCATTTATATTGCGCTCACTGCTAGCCCGCATCTACAGCATTACGCGCGCTAGCCAATCAATTCTTCCTCCTCAATTTCAAGTTTCGCTCCGCCCACCGAGCAGTGTATAAAAAGGGGCAGCTCCAACACTGAGTATTCAGACGATCATCAGTCTACGAGCTAGCCACACCAAGCAACATCAGTCAGCAGGCTTCATCGCCAGCGCTCGGTCTTCGGAGGCATCGGCAGGCTGCGCCAGGCACGACTGCCTCGGCCCTCCGGCTCTCTCACACCCGACTCACTGGGGCACTGTGCCTGGACTCGCCGGTGGTCGTGTTACTGTCCGACCCACTGGGCATCTGGCGTAGCCACTGCCTCATAACTCCTACGACCACGCTCAACGACTAGCCTTTCACCAGCAGCCCCCGCGCTGCGATCAAGCAACCTCCAACTCACGCTGCCGCACGGCAACCAAGCAACCTCCAGCCACGGCCGCACTGCGGCCAGGCCACTCACCGCAACTAGCCTCTCTCCTTACCGGCGCGTGCCACGCTACCTCTCCGATCAAGCATCTCAGCAACCACGGTCCTTTTCAGGACCAACAAACTGTTCCGAAGAAGTGGGTTGTCATCGGAGTAATGACAACACTACATAAGACCCCAACAAAATAATTGACAGTCTGACACTGACTTTCTGACTGATAATTTGCTACTGAAAACAAATCCTTGAAAACAACCCACTTCCTTGCAAGCTCAAGTAGCACTAATCTGTATGCTCAGATGAATATTTACTTCTCAGTTCTCAAAACAAAGCTGGGCTCTATTTGGCTGACCAGGTCATAAGCAGTCATAATTAAAGGTAAATAATATCGAAACCAGTACTGTGATAAACGATTTCATTGTTCAGAGCTAATGAATGAACCACTGACTTGACCTTGTGTGGGTTTATTGTGGTTTCTACCAGAAGATCAAACTGTCAGCACTCCCAAACAGAGCACATGTGCTGCGTTAGATAAATCTAACATTCGGCCACCTCAGTGTTATTTGCTGTTAGATATATCTAACATCAGTATGTTAAAGGTTTGGTACAATAGGTCAGAAGTAGCCACAGTACAAGGAACTTAGTCCCACCTCACTAGCAATAAAAAAAATTTGAAAGGTTGATACACAGAAAACGATCAATATGGGCAATAACAGTGCCAAACCCTGCACTACACCACAGAGCAAATTGACTTTGAGAGATGATTCAAAAGATGTAGGATTTGAGGTTCTCATAGTAGTGGCGGAGAAGAGTTCTGCCTACTGGGATGTAACGCATTCAGTCCATTAAAGTCAATAACATTTCAGAAGAATAAGTTGTCTCCATCTTCAGGGTCAAAGAATAAGCCAAGCAAGAAACCAGCATGAAGCTGGTAGCATGCAAAGCTCTTGAACCCTGAAGATGGAGATAAATTTTCCTCCAAAATGGCTGGTGACTTAATGGACATCCCAGAAGATAAAACTCGAATCAAAACATACCTGTGAAGCTGGAATAAGCAAGAACATAATCTGTTGATGGCCAAAGGAAGAAAATGGGAGGTGGGTGTAACAAGTTCAGGATCATGTCCAATGGCAAGCTCCAGTATTAGCAGTACTGAACCTCTGGGTTCTAATACAACAGGCTATGTTATAGTATTTTCATATAAGTCTCATGTTACTGTTATACATTTACCTCTAAACTCATCTGGAGCATCGCTGTAGTCCACCTCCCTCTTGATATTCTGGATTGCAATCTCATTGGCTTTCTCTGCAAGGCTTCGGAACTGCTCAATCTCAGATGGAGTTTTAATCTGAGCCCGCTCCATGCGGTTTGCAGCATCTTCAAACAGTTCCTTCTTAAAGGAACGCTGAAAGATAAAGCTACAAATGGAACAACATATGACACAAGAAATAAGTGAATTACAAAGTTCAGTTATCTGTGCTGCTGCTAGTTAAAGAGAGGGCCACAGAAGCAGGAAACCTTCATCACATTGTGACTGTGTCAAGTGAGTAAGATGGTACAGTACTCAGATTCATTCTGGGACCCTATAACCTTCCACTTGATACTATTTATTATACATTCTGTACACAAAGTACAAAAAAGTACTGCATTACAGTGAGATTCAATGTGCCTATCCAGTCACTGGGAGACTTCATCTCTGGATTTATCTAACAGATTCTGATTACATTTGGTCACTCACTCATGGAGCTGAGACCTTCTTGAGAAGCAGCCAATTGTGCAGGTACTCAAGCACTCCCCAGCATTTTATGGAACCCGAAGGTTCATTACCGAGTTCACAAGATCTCTCCACTGGTCCCTATCCTGAACCAGATCAATCCAATCCATACCATCCCATCCTATCTCTCTAAGATCCATTTTAACATTGTTCACCCACCTACATCTTGGTCTTCCCAGTAGTCTCTTTCCTTCTGGCTTTCCCACCAATATCCTATATTCATTCTTCTTCTCCCCCACTTGTGCTACATGTCTTGCCCATCTCATATTTCTTGACTTGATCATTCAAATTATATTCAGAGAAGAGTACAAGTTACAAAGCTCCTCATTATGCAGTTTTCTCCAAACTCCTATCACGTCATCTCCTCATTATGCAGTTTGATTACTTTTGGTATAAGAGAAAATTATAATTTTTCTCCTTATTATTCTGGCACAGTGCCTATTCAAAACAAATTCTGCACATTTTATCAAATGCAGCTCATTGTATATAAATATTACACATCACATAAAATATCTCATTCAGATGCTCGACCTTTATATGAGATATGTTGTAATAGACTGCACTGTACATATGTAACTGAGGAAGAATATAGCTGTCTGAAGACATTGCTTTACAGCAGTATACTCTAAAAATACGGGGTACAATCCAAAAGTTCCCAAAATATATTAATAAAAACTATTACATCTTACCTAGATCTTATTCTGCACCATCACCTTCAAAGTAGTCCCCGTGGGAGCGCATACACCGATCCCAGCATTTCTGCCACTTTTCAAATGCATCCTGGAAGTCTTTCTTTGTTAGGGTGTTTAGTACCGTCTGCGTTTCTGCTTGAATTTCCTCAGCTGTATCAAATCTTTGCCCCTTCAACTTGATTTGCATCTTGGGGAAGAGAAAGAAGTCGTATGGAGCTAAGTCTGGCGAGTACGGTGGGTGGGGAACAACTGCCATCTTGTTTTTAGCCAAAAATTCCTGCACAATGTAAGCCGTATGTGGTCGTTCGTTGTCATGGTGGAGTACCCAGTCATTCGTGCACCACTTCTCTGGACGTTGTCTCCTCATGTTCTCCCTCAAATGCCTTAGAGCATCGCGATAGAACTCTTTATTGACCGTCTGACCAGGAGGGATGAACTCCTTATGAACAATCCCGTCAATATCAAAAAAACAGATCAACATGGACTTAATGTTGCTCTTGACTTGTCGAGCTTTTTTTGGCCGAGATGAAGAAGGGCTCTTCCATTGCGACGATTGCTGCTTGCTTTCAGGGTCGTAGCCATAAACCCAATTTTTGTCACCAGTGACAACCTTCAAAAGAAAATTTGGATCCTCTAGAAGCTGTTGCTGAAGTTCCCTGCAGACTTCCAAGCGATGCTGCTTCTGTTCATTTTGCAGCAGTCGTGGCACAAACTTCGCTGCAATGCTCCTCATGTTCAGTTCCTCTGACAAAATTCATTGACATGTACCATAACTTAGTCCCAAGGTGTTACAGAGGTCTTGGATGGTCAGTCTATGATCTTAGAGAATTAGATCCCTAACTTTCGCGACATTTTCTGGTATTTTGCCCCTTGACGTCTGTCCCGAACGATCATCGTCATCGGTCAGTGTTCGGCCATTTTTAAAACACTTATACCAGTTTTAAGTTTGTGTCTGGCCTAAACTGTTTCGACCAAAAGCTTGCTTCAACATTTGGTGCGTTTCTGCAGCGGTTTTCCCAAGTTTGAAACAAAACTTTATAGACATGCTGCTCTCTCAGGTCAGCCATCGCAAAACCGCAAACTCACGGAAACACAACAATGGAAATACGTTCACCAACAATAAACCCAACCACTCAACTCGACGCCGCTTGCCACACTGATTCAAGAAGGATGTGTGAGGAGACACCTAGCAGTATTTTGATGTACTCATAACCATTCGTGCACAAAATTCAAATTTCGGAAACTTTTGGATTGCCCCATGTACATGTACTTCATAGAAGTCTTTAGTTCCAGTCTTATTTTTATACCAACAAACTTCTTATACAGATTCAGTTTTCCCTTCCTGTAATGGTTTTTTCCCATGGCAGGAAGCGAATAAGAAGCAATGATGGTGAAGAGTGTAGACTGCATTCTGATTCAGACCAAAGCAGCCAAAGTGCACACCTCATCTCCTGCTAGAGCTGCCGCAAATCCTTTGCAGTCCAAGTGAAGGTAAATGTCAGCCAACTGGCTCAGGAGGCGCCGTGGCTCCCACCCATATTTCTCTGGCATGCGCACCTTGAGGTTCTTACCTGCACCAAGACAAAATTGAAGCTAAATCAGTAATAAATATAAATATTACCTGATCATGCAGAAATATTTCAAAGAATATATGATGCCAGTTTTAGACCAGTGTTAATCAAAATAGACTGTATATTAGAAAAAAACATTGATTAAGGGCTTAACTAATAATCTTTTTGTTGCTATATTAGTATGTGCTGTGGGGGTGGGAGGCAGCTAGTAAATGTACTTATACTTGTGCTGTTTAAGACCATTTTTACTGATCACATAAGAGTATTTAGTATAGAATAATAATTTTTTAAAAATATAGATTTTTCTCTCAAAAATTTTGAGGGGGGGGGAAGATGCCTGGTTTTCCCTACCTTCCACTGGTACCCATGCATCTTCTACATACAACTCAGACAAGTCAGAATCATGTTAATGTGTTCAGTGCATGGGAAACCAATTGGTGATATGCTTCGGGACACACCTGCAGACAATCGGGGAAACTCTATTCAAAGCAGCTGGTTCCACTGAATATTTGGAACAGTCCTCACTGGGTATAAGCTAAATATATGATCTATCACTGCATTATGTTCTGCAATGCATTGTAAGAAATAATATGACACAAAACTGGGATGCGATAATAAAGCTACAATGAAAAACTCTGGTTTACACTTTGGTCCACAAAGTTGCTGCAGGTTAAAATTCAGCATAGCAGACAGGCGATCCACTAACTCTGGTCGAAGGAACGGTTCCTTGATATCGACGGTGAGGTAATGGAACATATCCACTGTCTCCTTTGCCAACGTCAGGTACGACCTAAAAGCATACAACAAAGAACAGGATAATACTCATCACAGAAATTTGGAATCCTTATTTAACTTTGGTAGCTCTTGTCATAACTCAGGATGAATTTCAAAGATTTTGTAATAATGTTCATGAGTATTAAATTTAGTATTAGGTCATCATTTTGAAATATTATCTTTGTTTCTTTAACAACACTCTTTTGGCTATACATGTTATATACTGCCAAATGCAAGATCTAATGTTAACGATGATTTGGAGATGTGAAGGTAGTTGTGGTTTAAGATACTATTCCATGATATACGTAGAGAAAGTGAGGCTAACAATGTCTGGAGACTTTCTTTATACTTCTTGTAACGCCACTGTCCAGTATTAAAATCTAAAATCAACACCACATCATTACCTGCATTGACGTTCATCACCTGTCAGTTGTCGCTGCCGAGCTTGCTGCTGATCTGCAGGTGTCTGATTCCAAGTCTCTATATCAGCCATCAGCTCCTGGACTTCATGGATTCTCTGCAAATTAAATCAAACTATTCTGATACATGTAAATTTCACATTTCTGAAGTAAGAATAAATACTGCATATGCCTAAGATATGAATGAGATATTTACAATAATTTAGAATTTGAAAAATGAAGCATCAAGTAAATATTATAAAGAAACTTCAGTACTTCACAGATTGAATGTTTCTATCCCCAACAGTATAAAGCCCTCAATTCAGATTGTGATCTCCTGGGTTCTGATATTATTTGGTCTAGTAGGTGATTAAATGTTTTCGAAGAATCTGCTGTCTCCATCTTCAGGGTCAAAATGCCTTCATTTCTACCACAAAAATGAGGCAGCATGTCCTTCTGAAACATTGGTAATAGCCTACCAGACTACATGGTGTCACAGATCAGGAGACCACAATTTTAATCTTAATGACTGTAATATACGAGGTCTGACAATAAAGTTTGCGAACTCGTCGCAGTGTGCTTGCTATGGCAGCAGTGGACAGAAGCCTTAGTATGGTTTGATGATGTTGGCATGTCAGCATTTCACAGCTGTGTTGTTGATTTATGGTAGTCTCTTTTTGAGTGGCATCTATTATTCTCTTAGTGTGTCTTGGTGTGCCATTGCAAGAACATCAGTGCTTGAATTATAGCACTGAATGAACATTAAATTTGTTGTTAAACTTGGCAAAAGTGGAAGCGAAATCAGAGAGATATTAGTGCAAGTTTAAGGGGATAATGCTATGCAGTTTACAAGTGGGCGACACATTTTTCTGAGGGAAGAGGAAGACCCATTGATGAAGAGAGATCAGGATATCCAGCAACGAAGAGAATTGAAGAAAATACTGCAAAAGTTCATCAATTTGTGCATGAAAAGCGTTGGCTGACTGTCAAGAGCATAGCAGAGCAAGCAAACATTGACAGAGAAACAGGAAAATTTTAACTGAAGATCTTGACATGGTGTGTGCAAAAATGTTCCCAACTTATCTCATTGAAAAACAAAAGCAAAGAAGAGTCAAAATTTGACAAGATCTTTTGGAAAGGCAAGAAGACATTTTGGGCCGTGTCATCACAGGTGGTCAAATATGGGTCTACTAGTATGACCCTGAAACAAAGCGGCAAAGTGCATAATGGTAGACTGCCAATCCTCCACAACCAAAAACGTTCCGTCAGTCCAAATCAAGAGTCAAAACAATGTTACTAACTTGTTTTGATATTAGAGGGATTGTCCACTATCAGTTTGTACCAACTGGACAGTCATCCAAGTTTACTATTTGGAAATGCTGAAAATGCTACGTGAAAAATTTAGGTAGAAACGACCTGAAATTTTGCCAAAAACTCATGGGTCTTGCATCGTGACAATGCACCTGCTCACACGGCACTGCCTGTGAGGGAGTTTTTAGCTAGTAAACAAATAACTGTGCTAGAACACCCTCCATATTTACCAGATCTAGCCCCCAATGAATTTTTTCTGCTCCAAATATACAGGAAATATTGAAAGGAAGGTGTTTTGACAACATTGATGACATCAGGAGTAATACAATGGCAGCTCTGAAGGCCATACAACAAAACCAGTTCCAAAATTGTTTTGAAAGGTGGACTAGGTGCTGGTATCAGTGCATAGCTTCCCAAGGGGAGTACTTTGAAGGCAACCACAGTGATATTCAGCAATTAGGTATGTAGCACTTAAACTGCGATGAGTTCGCAAATTTTGTTTTCAGACCACGTATGCTGAAATGGAACAACTTCAACATACAAGGCTAAACCCAGAAAGCTGAAGTTCACAAGAGATACTGACCACAAAAATCTACAGATGTAGATCTTCATTGTCATGAAAATCTCACACCTCATAAAGCACTCAGTGTGTCTATTACATGTAGCATTGCTATCCACAGCATGGGCAGGCCATTTGATTCATTCATACTGACCGTATTACAGCATACTGCAGTTATCGACTGTAAGCAAGTACAATGTGAATGCTAAACAAAATAACTGTTACAGAATCATGTATCTCATGCTGCAATAGGAAGTCATAAGATACCTTAAGAAGCATGTGGAGTCAGATGCTAGTTTTGTTGAACTTCATAAATCATGGGTAGTCACATGCTGAAGATAGGGTTTACAGTGACACAAATATCTACAGTTGTGCAATTGTGGTTATGATTCAGATTTTAAATTAATAATGGTAAAGTCTGCTATACAAAGTCACAACTCAGAAGCAGCATGCACTCCTTTTTTCCAGAAACACAGTAACTAGCCACTTACAGAAACTCTGATTTAGTATTAGAGCTAGATAAAACACATTTTCTCATTGACTCAAGTTCTGGGGAGGAGGAGGGCCATCTTATACTTGGGTAAACACCGGTTACTGCAAAACTCCGTGGCTTAAGTCCACAAGTGAACTATACCGAGTGACCGCTGCCTGTCACCGAAGTTAGTGCCAACTTCAGCGGATAGAGGTTGTCACGTGGTCAGTGCAATGAATCCCCATGGCCATTAATCTCGGTTTTCTAGACCAGAGCCACTACTTTTCCATTCAAGTAGCTCCTCAGTTATCCTCACGAGGCTGAGTGAACCCCATTCCAGGCCCACTACTGCTCAGAAAATCTGGTTAGCACTGGGAATCGAACCCAGGACTTCTGGATCTGTAGCCAGGAACTCTGATCACTAGACCACAGACGTGGTCCCTCAAAGACTCTTACTAAAAATAAATAAAAAGAAGTAAAAATGAATACTTTATTCGCTTTCATTTTCTAATAGTTGAGAAAACAAAATTCTTAGCCATATATTTCAAAAGCAACCTGCAGCCAGATTGAAAATTTAAGTAATTACTACTACATTATGATACAGAAAGTCGAAACCATTTTTATTCTTTACCATTTCTTCTAAACTTATTGCATAACTGCTGCAAAACGCAAAAGGAAAGAACTGTCAGGACTAAAATCTCTGCAAGCTTTCCAGGATTCATTATTTCTTTTTGAGCACCAAACCATGATGCTCTAAATGTGTACTAATTACAGATTCACACAGCTTGTCATATTTGACTATATATCATAGGTCATGCTTTATATATCATATTTTTAAGTTTATTCGGACAGGGGGGTTCCAGAACAAATTTCTATACCATGTATAGAATGTACTGATATAAGGATGTCCAAATAAAGAACAAGAACAGTAAAGTCAGCACTGTTCTACTTAGCCAATAACCAGCATAAAATGGCATAAAGTAAAAATAAAACAGGTGTACAGTATACAGGACACAAAGAAAGGTGGTTAAGTGTATTCATAGCATATTACAAACCTTAAGTGACTCCAAACTTTCATCCAGGAGGAAAGTTGTGTCATTCATCAACATATTAACAAACTTCACAAACTGCTTGCCAGATCTAGAAATAGAGAAATATAAAATTAAAGTGTTAAAGCATCTTCAAAAATGTGATTAAATGAAGGTTTCTAAAGATCAACAAAAACCTACAGTAAAGTAAAGTAAGTAAAGTAAAGCTATCCCTGTAACAGGCCATGGAGGCCCATAGGGTTGTGAGATGTTGAGGTTCCCACATTTTCTTGACAATCAGCTCATAGATGACAGCAAGGCTGTCAGCCTTACATGCCGGCCGCCCTTTAGCCCCAAGAATATTCCAAGAATACTCCTGGTACTCATTTCTGTTAGAGGCTGAGTCAACCACAGGGCCATAGTCTGGCTAAAAGGATCAGGTCAATTGATAAAAATCCAATGACCTCATCAGGACTTGAACCTGTGACCTTTCGGCTTGTAGCATAGTGCCTCAACCAACTTATAGTAACTGACAAAATATTATGTTCCCCACATGGTGCTCAAGTATTAAATTTTCTGCTTGTAAGATTTTCTTTGGTTCAGTTTTTAAATTTGTTGTCGCCAGGGAAACCTTAAATGGGAATTAAACTGTTCCTCTGTGCTGCATTATAACTTCAACAACCTGTTCATGTCAGCTATATAAAGTGAAACTAATTTCTGTGCTCTGTTTTATGCCAGTCCCAACTCGATTAACATCCATGGACATTCTCCATTCATTTGTTTGATATGCACTTGGCTCTTCCAAGGAAACAAGCTTAATGTTCAGAAACACAGAGTGGAGAGAATGTCGAGACTGTTCAGATGGGCCAGTAACCTTGATTCATTGACAATGGCTTGACGATGAACTGGACTCTCCCACATGCCCTTCAGGATCAGACTTATGTGGTAGCGTATCGTGAATTTGTCATAAAATTCAGAACTTGAACCTGTAGTTTCCACATCTGTAAAAAAAGAACAGAAAAGGAATCAGGCTCTAAAACTCCAAAAATAAATTATGTTACTACAATACTTCTCAATTAGTTTGCCACAGAAGTTTGCATTCAAGAACATTTTTTTACAATAAATTTAATAATATCGCTGGATTCAACATGCTCACTATGGTAACTAAAAAGAGTATTCTACTGAGTATCTTTGAGTTCCTTCCTGGCCTATATCAGATCTAGTTTTCCACATATAGTTCACGCTGCTTACAATATTATATTTAAGCATCCTGTTGCACTCTACACGATAAATGATACAAACTCCGTCCCAAGTGCAAACAATATATATTATATGTCTTTGATCTTGCTCTCTTCTACACTACATGTTTCGGCCTCTAACGGCCATCATCAGGTGTATACTCTTACGTTGCTGCCACACTGAACCCAGTCTAAAATTTAACATTTAAAAAACACATTGTTATTTTCTTTGTTATTATCAACATCTAGCTCGTTGATATCTGTCTGGTGTGTAGATTATTTTGCACACGTCAATGTACGAAACACACATATTTCGTAGCGGAACTACGAAACATGTAGTGTAGAAGAGAGCAAGAGCAAAGACATATAATATATATTGTTTGCACTTGGGACGGAGTTTGTATCATTTATCACACTGCTTGCCACCTTATTCTTGCTACCTTCTTGCTTGGCTTACTCTTTGATCTTGAAGATGGATGGAGTACATTCCTCTGAAACATCGATGAACATCTACTGAGCTACACGCAGTTACATTCCCAGAAGATAGTACTCTTAAACTTTAACACTGGTTTACCAACTGTGGTAGAAAGCAGGCTCTTGTGAACACAGTAATAAACTTTTAGGTTCCATAAAAGGTGCAGAGTTTTTTGCCAGCTGAGTGAATATTAGCTCCTTAATGACATTACTCTGTGAAGATAATGTGCTAAAAGCAAGAAGATCTTGTTCAGTAATATTCTGACATCTTACTGACATGTGCTGCTCTTCCTTCATTAAATTGTAATTGCCTTTATATTTTACATATTTGTTTACCTTTTTACATACTATTACACTTTTTTTGGAACATTCATTTCTAATCTTAATATCCTGTTAAAATGACAAATTTTTGTATGAACTGAAACAAATATTATAAACAACTATATAAATGAAAATAACAACATATGAAGAATAAAAAAACACAGTTTATGCATACAAACTTATATAAGTATACATTATCTGGTACACTACGAGATAAGTGGACTGTACCTCAGTATGCTGCCATGCAGAAACTGCGAAACACTGTGTTAGTGAATTACATTAAATGCACAGCATACCATGAAAAAAAGAGTACGCAACACAACAGTAGTAACCTGAGCACAAATAAATATTGCAAAAAATCTGCAACAATTTTAACACACAGTACAGAATAAAATAAATGGTTACTATAGAAAGCTTTGCTCAACTACAACCTAGAAAAATATTTTGTCATCTATGAGGTACACATAAATACAACATTAAAGATCAATAATAATAATAATAAAACTATACAATAAGTTGAAGTTTGTTTTTAAAAGTCTCATCTGTCAGAGACCCTCAGACATTTCAATTTTCTGATTATGTTGCAAATTGCCCCAACCTAATTTTAATCATAATTTTTTCAGGATGAAAGAGAAAAAGAAAATTAGGGGAAAATATCAAAATTAATTTATTAAAAGAAGGCAGAGAAAAGATCAAAATGACAGATATTTGGTTACCTTGTGACAAACACAGATTTGAAAACAAATATTTCAAGCAGGACTCAGGATATACTGAGTGAAAATGAAGAGGATATTAAGACACAGAAAGGGTTGAATATAACAAATATAGCACATAACTTCTTCAGTATTCAGAGGTAGTGTATGGAAAAGCGAGTGATTCTTTTGAAAGATTCATTGTCAGCCTCACCATTATGCACTGCACCTGTTCTTGTGAACTCAACTTCATTCTCTAACCTGTGTAGAACTTCATGAGGCATGATGGAAGATGCATCTCAGAGATAGGATGTGCCATCACACGAGCATGAAGCTGCTCAGTACGAGACTGTATCCCTGGGTTAATCACAAACAAAACCTCAATGATCTTTGCCACCATATAGGGATTCTTGATACACTGGGGAGAACACACGACAACTAAAAGCCATGTGATGAGAGAGTCTTCCGTACAATCAGCCACTACCCCAGGAGTGAACCTACAATCACATTAATGCATGTGGTGATTAGTGTATTACTATACCACACAGTGTGTCTGTCTGTGGGAAGTACAGTATTTTATAAATACTATGCTTACAGGTATTTACAATATATCCTAGAAACAACATTCATTTGATGTAAAATCCATTATATCCTGCTTGTTTTTAGAAATGACTTCATGTTAGAATTTGCTTCTATAATTTAACATCCTTCATTTTCCTCGCACTGTCTATGGTGACGGTGGTGATCTTAAAGTAGTGATGACAAGCTTTAAAGTGTAAAATTCCTATTTCGCTCATTTACAGATCAAATTACAAATTAAATTTTACTTACTGGAGAACAAAGAGCAGGAATTCTGCAATATCCTCGACATACCATTCAGGCAATGCTGAGAAGATGGCAGGAGCATCAGAAGGAAGAGGTAAGGAAGGTGGTGTGACACCAGGGGGCAGCTGAACCAACAGTCCTAAAAGGAACTCAGCAACAGATGTATAGAACTGCAATGATCGTCGAAGTAATGCCTCATTCAAAAGCCCAGTGTCTGCACATGCTTTACTCCGATTAAGCTTCTTGATCTGTTGCTTCCACTGCTTTAAAAGTTCTTTGTTGCGTGCAGCAAAATGCATTTCTTTCCACTGTGCTTCTGTGGCCTGCATTTCATCAACCTGTCACAGTCAATCAGCAGACAATATGTTTTTATGTTAAAATATCACACATTGAAATTTGCGAGACAATTCACGCATAGCCAACATTATTCATGAGCTTCTACCTTATATAAGTTATCCTTCAAAAGTGTTAATTGTCATTTTTGTTATCGTCATCATCGTTTTCATCATCATCAAACAGGGAAGTATATTTTAGAGAAACCCCAAATGGCCTACATATATTTCACTGCATTATGAAATAAATTTTCTTAAAAAGTTTCAAGATAAATTCTTACTAATTTCTGTAGATCCCTCAGAGCACGGAGGCGGCGCTGATATTTGTGACAAGCCGGCAGAAGTGCTAGATGATGACAATGAAGTGTGAGAAACCAGCAGTGTGTCGGAAATTTCGGTTCTTTCCATTTGTGTATCAGGGAACGATCTGAAAATACAAATTCCACACTCCAATAAACAACAAAAATTTGCTTTAATATGATATCATTGCTAGGAAAGAGTTCTGACATATGGTTATATATTATTTTATGAAAATAAAAAGTTTGGTACAATAAGTGTACACATTACATGGGCAAGAAGAGCCGGGATAGCCCAGTCACTGTAGCAATGGGCTACAGGCTGGACCATCAGGGTTTGATTCCCAGTAGGGGCAAGAGATTTTTCTCTTCTCCATAGTATCCAGACCAGTTATGAGGCCAACCCAGCCTCCTATCCAATGGGTACTGGAGGCCTCTTTCTCCAGGTAAAGTGACAAGAGTGTGACACTGACCACTCATCTCCATATAATACTGAGGTCATGAACGGTACAGCTATATCTCCACTCTCCGAATGTCTTCATGGTATAGTGCTTAATTAAGCACACAAACAACTTTGTCCTTTACATGGGCAAGAAAGGGCAGAATTTTTGTTCTTATTTCACATCTTTGATCACTTTAAGATCAACTCCATGTAGTTCTCAGACTGCTGTCTTCTGGGACATGATACCATCAGTCTGGTTTATATTTAGCAGCACTGTGTAAGATGTTGGCATCATCCTACCATGAGAACCTGAAATCTTACATCCATGAAGTATGTTTCCTTGAGGTGCATGCTGACTTGTCTTATGACTGAATCCTAGATATTTGTTGGTATGTTCCAGGTTGGGGGAGAGATTACTCACTATAGCAAGGGCATCAGAACTGCTGACAAAGTACGAGGGTAATTCCAAAAGTAAGGTCTCCTATGTTTGAAAATATAAAATAAACATTTATTTTCAATTTTGGATACATCAGTTGAATCTTGAACATGTACTCATTTCTCTACATAATCGCCATTTCGGTCGATGCATTTTTGTAGGCGCAGTGGCAGTTTTTGTATGCCCATGTCATACCAGTTCACCTCCATGCTGTTCAGGAAACTTCGAACCTCAGCTTTCACCTCATTGTCATTGTTGAAGCGCTTTCCAGACAAATGTTCTTTCAACTTTGGAAAGAGATGGTAGTCACTGGGCGCCAAGTCTGGACTATAGGGTGGATGGGTGATGATGTTCCATCCAAACTGTTGCAGTTGAGCGACGGTTTTTTGGGCAGCATGGGGGCGAGCGTTATCGTGGAGAATGCTTACACCCTTGCTCAACATCCCTCTTCTCCGGTTCTGAATCGCCCGCCTGAGTTTTCTCAGTGTCTCACAATATCTCTCAGCGTTTATTGTGGTCCCAGTTTCCATAAAGTCAACCAACAATACCCCGTTTCGATCCCAAAACACAGTTGCCATGACTTTACCGGCAGACTGTGTTTGCTTGAATTTTCGAGGCTTAGGCGAAGAGGAATGCCGCCACTTACATGATTGTTGTTTTGTCTCAGGTGTGAAGTGGTACGCCCAGGTTTCGTCGCCTGTGACAATTGAATTCAAGAAGTTGTCCTTTTCGTCAGCATAGCGGCGAAGAAATTCACGGGAAGAGTCAACTCTCTGCCGTTTGTGGTCTTCCGTGAGCATTCGCGGGACCCATCTTGCGCACACCTTCCGATAATTCAACTTCTCTGTCAAAACCCGATAAATGGTGGTTCGGGAAACCTCGGGAACCGAAATGCAGAGATCATCGAGTGTGATGCGCCTATCCTTACGCATGACTCGCTCAATCTTCGCGACTGTCTCATCAGAAATTGACGGTCTCCCAGTTCTTTTTTTGTTGTGTATTGTAGTATGACCAGATTCAAACTCCCTACACCACTTGCGGACGTTCTTTATGTCCATGCACGACTTGCCATACACTTCCACCAATTGACGATGAATTTTAATTGGTTTAGTCCCTTTTGCATTCAAAAACCGAATAACTGCGCGAATCTCACACTTCGCGGTTTTAGTAATCAGGAGCTCCATTTCTAATGGCAACCGTACCAAGACTGAGCGTCCTAGCTACGTGCGCGCATGCTTGGTGGTATTGGGGGGAGTGGGGGAAGCAACGAATGCAACAGGGTTGCCAACAGCCGCACGAAAAATTACCCAGCGCTTTGGAGACCTTACTTTTGGAATCAGCTACGTATAAAATAATATTTCAGTCCATTTGACACCAGTGACACTATCAGTACTGAGATCATATTGTGTCTGATGATTATGACTGAAGAATTGGAATGAAGTGGCTGAGGCCTAATCATGGTGCTGCCCTTGAATTCATCTGGAGGGACTGCATAAAACCACAACAACCTATCAGAATAGCCAGTGTCCCAGATGGTGTTAAAACTAAGGACATCTCAGATACAAGTCCAAGCAAGTTTCAGCATCTGATTGGAATGACTAAATTTATAATTTTGTAATATCATACTTTCTAATGATAGAACTGATTTAATGTTTACAGAAGCACTCACATTCTAAAGGTTTCTGACAGTGATTCATTAGACTACATTCAAACTGAACACTGCACTATTAGGTTGTACTTGTCATATATGACATTCTAAGAGTTGGTTCTGCTTTCATCTTCAGATCCTTCGGCATGTTCATTTAATACTTTTCTTTTTTTTTTAAAGAATACTGGAAACAATAGAGATCAAACCCAGAATCCTTTGACAATTAAACTCATATACCATCATTGCAATAAAAAATAATCACATGAAGATAAAAGTACAGTCTATTGTGAAATGTCAGGCAAAACAAATACTCCAGAGGCAATTAATAATGTCCAATATATTCATGTGCTGTGAAAAATCATTTTAACTAACAGTTGATACTGAAATACTGACAATTTATATAACCATAATGCTTTATACTGGAAAGATTTTAAGGAAAATTTATGGACCAAAATGTGAACAAGATGTGTGGAGAATAAGAAGCAATCTGGGACTATAAAAAAAAATAAGTCACCAGATACTGTGACTGAAAAAAAACAACAGAAGACTGGAATGGCTGTGACATGTCATCAAAATGGAAGATGCCCATATACGAAAAATAATACTCAACATTAAACCAGAAGGCAGATGTGGAATGGAAAGACCCGAGGTGAGATGGTTAGATGACGTAGAGGCTGACATAAAGACTCTTTGTGTAAAATGGTGGAGATTAAAAGCTCAATCTGGAAAAGAATGGATGGCAATTCTAAGGGAGGCTAAGGCTAAATTAAAAGGGCCATAAAGCCACAGTAATAATAAGAACAACAACAATAATGGTCTACAAAGGGACGGATGTGTGAAAATCCAATCTATCTCATGAAAGCACTAACTTAATTACATAAATTCTAAATCTAAGCTACAGGAACAAAAGATTCAAATGAATAAGTGAGAGTGGATAAAAACATTTTCTAATCACATACTGAGATCATCAAGCCATGCCGCTGCTTCCTGTGATGTAAATTTCAGCCTTGTATCATTCTTTATATCAACCAAACTAGACGGATGGAAGGGGTAGAACACATCCACTTTATCTAACTTAACCTGAAACACAAGAAATGTGTATCACAAGCTCCCCCTTCCATTAGGTACATACATAAATTTAAGGATAATAACAATTCTAAATAAAGAAAAGCAGACACAGGGCATCACAGGTTTTAATTAAATTCAAACAACAAAGCATAAAAAGAAAACTGAAAAACATATCTCCTGTAAGGTGTATTAAAAGCCAAAGTAAAATCGTTAAAATGCAGCGAGACCTTGATATTACACGAATTAATAAAACTCCTAAATATGCCCATTGTTACAAATGCTTGTAATATTCTAAAATTGTTGAAATATAAAACAAGCCTGCACCACAACTTCTGATTACATACAATATGGCACCAAGTTGTAAATAATAATGTGGGTTTAGCAATATTGCTCAGTCTTCGAAGTGATCATCACAGGGACATGAAAATAACAAAGAACAATTCAGCATTCTAATCATCCTCAGCATTATCTGAAACAAAGTTCTGAAGATTTTCTTAAACTTGCATAATCTATTCTTCTCTTAAACAACAGTTTGATGTTATGTACATAAGTAGTGAATCAGCCACATATTTAACTGTAAAAAGCATGCTCTGGTAGTGGCATGTGAAGTGTACATGAATCCATAATTGTTTATTTTGCTATCAAATTACACATTTACATTTACCATGTTTACCATGCTCACAATGAAAATAACCCTCTTTGTGACAGCTCAATCCAACTCTACTTATAGTCCAAAAAGCATACACTTCCAGGAAACCCTCACCTTCACAGCCAAAAATTGCATAATAGATAGAACATTCAGCATGAAGCCATCTCCTGCTAATGACCGCTCGTCCACCTGAATCTGTGCTCGCTTCTCATTGTTACGCAACAGGGCTGCCAGATATGACAGTGTTGCTTCACGCGCACTGTTACATACGAGTATGTCATGGAATACCTTGTGGAGGAGAATCTGAAAACAAAGATGCTTCATGTCTGTTGCTCAGCGTTTTCCCCATATGCTGTTCTTTATTTCTAACCAGTTCAGTTTCAAAATTTAAATATCTGAAAATAACATAGAACAAAAATGAGGGTCATGATGAAATCAAGAGGAATAAATCATCTAATACATGTTGCTGTTCAGTCCAAAAACTGTTATCATCCTGTCCACTTCAGAACTGCAACAGGCTCATATAAAACTGTCACACTTCCCCACTTGTTTCACATGGATGTCAAATATGCCCTAAACACAAAGGACAAAATAAGCATGTATTAAAGACAGCAGCTTCAAGATTTGCAAAATTCTTGTAGCTTTGTTAGTACAGTGAAATTAGGAGATTGAGATGGTTATGGCATGTCCACTTGGGAAAGACAAGAAATGCTCACATTAAAGACAGTTCTGAATATACATGAGGGTATCAGAATTGGAATATGTAAGAAAAAATTATGTTCCTACATACAACAGACGACTTCCCTAATTTTGAAACATGGAGCAGAAACATGGATATGTAAGCAGCTTAAAAGCAGTGGGGATGAAGTTTTATGATGTTTTTAACACACTACATGCCCTGATGTCTTTTGTAAAGGTCCATTTAGATGACATCAGCTAGTCTGACAATTATGAAACATGATCAGATGAAAGCTGAAATAGTTTAGCATTGGACAGCAGATGTAATGTACCCATGAATTAGTTTTGTAACAACCTTCAGCTGTAAATTTTGATATATATGAAACAGTTTTATATAAGCATGTTGAGCAGATAAAAATAAACAGTACACCAGTCGGAGAAGAAGTGAAAAAGGACTATAATATAAAACTGCTGCACTGGGCAAAATCCAAACAGAGATATTCAGGATACAGTGGTATGTACCACACTTGATAACAGTAAGATCCCTTTTAAATAAACAGAAATAAAAGAATGTCAAGGATTATGTGGGTGGACTAAGTGCAGGAAGATATATGAAAGAGAGTTTGGAAAGATGATTCTTTATAATAGAAAGGAGAACGGAGAAGGCCTTGCCATACAACAGCCAATCCTGGTGGAGAGGTCAATGAAAGATAAGGTTGAGCATTCTAGCAACAATTATGATGATGATTACAATGATGGCCATACTCGAGTATTTTCTAGTTCCTGTTGAAGAGTCTGGTTCAAGGACTTGTCAGCTACTGGATTCCCAGAGAAGAATTTGTCAGCAACTTTCGCTTCATCTTCTGCAAATACTGATACAGAAAGAAATGGGCCCAGGAACGACGTCTTGGCAAGCTCCCTTCCAACTGCCTGTGTAACCACATCTGGTAGGAAATTTGACTGTAACAGAATATTTGACTTCAGTTTGCTGAATGCATTCCAAACTGCAGGTAAACAGGGTCTAGTCAGAATTAGGGAAAGCTATAAGAGCATGTGATATATGTTGACCTATAAACCCCTTGAAGTCTTCCTTAAATTGCACCTCCTTGCCTTGCAGCTACATTTAAATGGAAGTAAATCCACACTGTTGCATTGTTATTCTACTTTTAAATCTTCCTTGTTGTATAATGATAAACACACTGCATTCTTTGGCGAAAGAAAGAGCAAAGAAAAGCATAAAATTGCCATCTGTTGACAACACTTCAAAACATCTTGGAGATACTGTACAGCTGTTTCAACAGAGCAGCCACCCATATCTCAGAAATAATATTAGTTCACAATGAGTTAAACATGTGGACAAAAGTTGTTATGCTGTCAAGCAACCACTTCTATTAGACACTAATTCCTCATCATAAAATATGCCTAGATTAATTCATGCAACAAATAAAACAATAAATGTGTAGCATACGTCATTCAAAAGTAATATAGTAACTGAATGATTCAACCTCACATTTTGCCACTGTTCCATGTAACAGACTTAGAAATTCAAGATAATATTAGGGTACTACAAGCCTTGTAGTTCATAAAATAGTAATTATAAATGTGAACAATGTATAAAGTTATTGCTCTTTGCTATCATGTCTGCAGTTATAATTTCATTCTTACACAAAAGGCCATATCATTCTAAAAGCTCTAGTCCACGATAAATGACACACACTTTTGGTGCATAACACTTCGTCTTCTCTGTATAGCCTGTGATTGAGAAAATGTTTTACGAGTTGTGTCTCATTTTGCATGTTCAGTTTGTGTATTTCCTAATTACCACAGCTTTGGAGTGTAACTTGCTCCACATTTCAGCCCTCTTCATCTTTTTCTGTGGTACATTTAATCCTTGCATTTCAACAAGTGACACTCGCCCAGCCTTGTAATGACATGACACCTCCTCACATCATAGCAAGAAGTACTTGGAAGAACATCACTGTATGTCATACTAGCACTAAAACGTATATCAAACATATTGGTACTGTATTTGTATCTCTGAACCCCACCTTCTGTAACAATCTACATATTACTTGGTGGTATCATTAAGGACTTCTTAATTAATCATTCAATAAATGTATTTAATTACTCTCTAAAAATGGCTAAATAAACCTTAACTAATTCCATGGAGGAGAGTTCTTCTTGAGAAGCTGATAGTCATTCAGCTGGTCAAGAAACTCCTTGCCTTTTATGGTACCTGAAATAAAAAAAATGCTACAAATATAATTCTCTAGTGCAGTTCTTGTAATTAAATATCTGAATATTCTATTTTGAAACATCATATTCTTCCAGTAATAGAATACCCCCAACCCCCCAAAAAAACTCTGTGGCATGTAGTCTGCAAGCAAACCATACCAACCAAACAACTGCCGCTTGTCGGCGAAGTTAGTGACAACTTTCATGAGGATAATCTAGGAGCTAGTTCAAGGAAACAGCGGCTCTGGTCTAGAAAACCAAGATTAACGGCCATGGGGATCCGTTGCGCTGACCACGTGACACCTTCTATCCACTATAGTAATAAGATATAGATAATGAAAATTGACGAAAATACTCTCAGAACAGCTAGATACATAAAGAAAACATCTGAACTTACTTGATGAGTCAGGAGTCGGCAGATAGGTCTGACATTGCCTGATGGACCACATCGTATTTCTACCAGATCACTAAGTGCCTGGATAGGCTGTCGATGTCCATTTCCAACAATTGAGGATGTCTGCATAGTCAGGAAGAGTCCTTGTAACACTGGACTAAATACCTAAATACACAAACGAACAACTGTTATGCATACACAGTCCACAAAGAAACTCCACAAAACAAGTCATACAAAACCTTAACTGTGTAAAACTTAACTTTGGACTTCCTCCTGAAGTTAAAAGTTACTCAGTAAAGTAAGAAAAGGTATCCCTGTAACAGGCCTTGGAGGCCCATAGGGTTGTGAGATGAGGTTCCCACATTTTCTAGACAATCAGCTCACAAATGGCGGTAAGGTTGCGAGCCCTACGCACCGGCCACCCTTTAGCCCCAAGAACATTCCAAGAATATTCCTGGCACTCATTAGAGGCTGAGTCGACCCCAGGTCCATAGTGCGGCTGGAAAAATTAGGTAAATTGAAAAAAAATCCAATGACCTCATTGGGATGCGATCCTGCGACCTCCCTGCTTGTAGCATAGTGCCTCAACCAACTACGCTACCGCTACTCAGTTCATCAATAAACTTCATCCTTTTACAGGCCATGAAGAATCATTACCATTGTCACAAAAGCCTACAACTGGATCCTAACCTAGGCCAGTTGAATCAGTGTACATCTTCACACCCGACTGCTTGTATTCCTCTTTATGCCTAAGCCACTCATGTGGTCTCCTTCCCTCATATTTTCCAACACATTTCTCACATTTTCTTGTGCTATACATCCTCCTTATTTCATTCTTCCTGATTTCATTACCTTAACAACATCAAATTGAAAGTATAAATTATGAAGCTCCTCATTATGCAAATAACTCCAGTTCCCTGGTGCTTCATCTGAGGTCCAAATATGCTAAATAAGATAAACTTAAATGTGGACAGAACAACAGTGAGACAGGTCCTTAAAAAAGATGCATGGGGGAGCGGATGTACAGATCAACATATTCTTGACCTTGGAACTAGTTGGAGGTGAGTGGTCAACTTCATGACCCGGCCACTTTACCCTCTGGGGAAAGAGTCCCAGGTACCCATTGGATAGGAGGCTGAGTGGGTCTCAAAACCGAGCTGGACCACATGGAGAGGAGAGAACTCTGACCCCTCAGCTATCCATCCCATAGCTAATCAGTACACCAACTGCACTATCCCATTTCCCTCTACCACACGACATTTACCATTTTTTACAGAGCTGTCACCATTTGCAATACCAAGCAAATTTCTGATCTCTGAACTCAACACAATTAATAAACACAACACCAATAGCAACTTACTTCATTTATGACAAGCAATCGAATAAGAATGTATTTACAATCTAGAAGTATAAAATTTACCGAAATATTCATAATACAGAATAATGTACTTAGACTCAATCAACATATGTACATTTCCTACCTTATTAAATAACTCGTGATTGGCATGTGTGCGTGCTACAAGCTCAGGAAGAAAACCACGAGGCAAACTCTGATTAAGCACAGGACCCAACAGTGGAGATGTGCGTGGAAGTTCCTCGTCAATAAGGACCCCTTGCAATGACAGTGATGCATACTGCACACACTGTGCTCGTATCTCAGCCAGCACATCACTCAGTGGAGGTATACTGCTTCTCTGTAACAATGCAATAATTGTGAAACTCAGCACTGCAGCACACACCTACTCAAAATCAGTGAAAATATTTACTTGCAAAATGGAAGACGGCAGGTTTCTATACTCCCTTAATGATATACTCCACCAGTATTTTCCCTTTCAGATATAATTATGTCACAAACAAACACAGGTTCCAGCAGGCAGTGGGGAAATAGACATCTGCCCACTCCCCCTGGATTTTGGAAAAAATAAAAATTTAAGAAAAGGATATACACCAAACAACAATAAAAGCATTTAAAAATAACAAAAAAACAAGCTTAAATGGCTCAAATGTAAGTTTTTAAGCAAATTTTTCTGGCTGCCCCACCCTGGAAAAAGTCCTGGCAACATTTGTGATCAACTGATTAATTATTACTAACTTTTCAAGACTAAAAGGAAGATTCCATGTGCATGGTCATTTTCAGAGGGGTAAACCTGACCATATTACAAATGATATCTAAATGAGTATGATCCAGAAATATCTGTGAACAAAAATTATTTTTTTATCATCAGCAGCAACTTTTTTAATCTCATCATCATTATCATTATCACTACATTACATTACATTTTACTGCATTGCATTCCATGGATCCAAAGTTAGTCAAAATGACTGTAGGATGTGGAATATGTCATATAAATACAAAACATATGTACAGTCACAATGGAGTTCTCATGCAAGAGAAACCAAGAATACACAGTGACTACATACAAGGCTATTTAAAGATACATAAGTTATTTTCTAGACAATAGGTATTCATCAACAGAATAGAATGAATGTGTGGGAACATCCTACATACTATCACACTATTTCTACAGCGCTCACTTTTCACCATCATGCGCGCTAGCCAATTGCATTGCTGGCAGCACTTGTATTTAAACAACGTTCGATGTTCAGTTCACACTTAGATCCTAACACACTAGCCAATCAGTGCTCAGCAAATTTTCGCTCATCCACCAAGCATTGTATAAAATGCGGAGCACAACGCTCGCAAGTCAGTCAGTCCATGGTCAGTTCCACATCAGCAGTCTTCAAGCAATTTACAAGCAATCAACACACTTCATCTCCAGCGCTCAGTCTTCGGAGTCTTCGGCTCTGCGCTGCGCCAGGAATAGCCGCCTCGCCACTCCGACGGCAGGCCTGACTCACTGGGCTGCCTCAGCTAGCCGGCAGTCATGCCCAACTCACTGGGCATCTGGCATAGTTACTGCCTCTCCACTCCAGCGACCGCACTCGACGACCAGACTTCCACCAGCAGCTGCCGCGCTGCGATCAAGCAACCTCCAGCAACTGCCATACTGCGATCAAGCGACCTCCAGCAACGGCCACACTGCGGCCAGTCAACACACCGCAACCAACCTCTCTTTCTACCGGCATACATAGCGCTACTTCACTGGCCAAACATCCCAGCAGTCAACGGTCCTCTTCAGGACCTACCAACTTTTCCAAAGAAGTGGGTTGTCATTGGAGTAATGACACAACAAAAACCCCACAAATGTGTAATTAAGTATCGTTTCAGTGCTATTTTAAATCATGTCTATTCATTCATAAGACCTTTGAGATCAGATGGCAGGTTATTAAAAATGTTGATCCCAGCATAATATGCGCTTTTCTGAAAGCATGAGAGGTTAGCAATTATTTTATGAACACAGTGTTTGTGTTTATTACTATAAACATAGACATAAAGGTACCAAAGATTAATATGGTTGTTCCTGTTTTTCACGTGAATTATTAGTGCTACAAGATATAAAATTAATATTGCAGCTGAGTGGTCAGCACTCCTGATTTCAATTCAAGACCAGGATTCCCAAACAGGAAGTTGACTACTCTGACCGTGACTTTTCATGGTGTTCCTCTATCCTTCCAGGTTAATACCAAAATGATACCTTAAAATAGGCGCCAACTGCTGAATTCCATAATTCCATCCTGCTTCAAAACTTTTGCTATGGACTGGATGGACAAGGAGATATTTTAAGTCCCAGCAGAGGCAAGAATTTTCCCCTCTCCATGTCATCTAGATCGGGTCTGGTGTACACCCAGCCCTACTCTTTCCCTGGGAGTAAAACAGTCAGGGCATGAAGCTGACCACTCACCTCTAACTTGTGCCACAGTCAAGAATACATGGATCTATACATCCAGTCCCCCATGTCTTTATGGTGTAGTGCCTAATTAATTATTCACAGGGACAACTTTACTTTTCTCAAAGTTCTTAATTATAAGCAGCTTCCCATTCAATGCTGTACAACCTACACAGTTGGCAAAATGTTGTTAAATACATTTAAACATATAGGAGATAAAATAATTGTACAGAATCCCTTTTCTTGACAAAAGTACTACCATGTATTGTCAACAGTTGCACCCGCAGACATTAAACAGCTTGGAAACACTATCATGCAGTTGCTTACCTTTGGGTGATTCCTCTCTTCCATTGCCACTCTAGCATAACAATCCATGAGGTACATGAGGCTTCGAGTATGGATGTCCTGCTGAGAATCAGATGATAGAGGCACAACACTCATGGGATGGTGCGGTAAAGTCGCCACAGGAGACAACAATGGACTGAGAGGTGCTGGGCTTGACGAGCTGACTCCTGGACTGTCCAAGTTGTCGGGAGTGGTCTGATTACATGCAGCACAAGGAGCCAGATCTTGGAGAGGGTTCTCACCCCTTCCCAACTGTGACAGCACTTCCATTAATGTCTGACTTATCAGATCCTGCAGCAGATAACATTTAGAGCTGAATATTCTTTATAGTTCTGAAAACAGTAATAACATGATTATAGTCTACATTTGTATATAGTGAACACCTGCTTAAATAAGATCAAGGGAGAAGGTAAAACTATCCCTGTAACAGTCTGTGAAGGCCCATGGGGTTGTGAGACGGTGAGGCCTCCATATCTTCTACACAGTCGGCTGGCAGATGGCAGTAAGCTTGTCAGCCTTACACGCCAGCCGCCCTTTACCTCCCAGGAAGAATCCTGGTACTCATTTCTGTTAGAGGCTGAGTCAACTCCAGGGCCATAGTGTGGCTGGAAGGATTAAGTCAATTGAAAAAAATCCACCTCATCAAGACTCAATCAAACCCATAACCTTCTGGCTTGTAGTATAGTGCCTCAACCAACTATGCTACTGCATGCCCCAAATAAGATCAAGTGAAAAGTTAATACAGCATTAACTGAAAAAAATAGTAAATGAAACAAGACTGCATAACATGAAATTAAAAACTAGATATGAATTAAACAAGGTAATCATCTATAATTACAGATACCTGCACTGTAAAAATTATATATTTTTCATTCCTATAACACCTTTGATCAAGTCAAGGAGGATGAGGTGGCAGGTCATGTAGCACAAATGGGGGAGACGAATGTGTATAGGATATTGCTGGGAAAGCCAGAAGGAAAGAGACCACAAGGAAGACCAAGGCGTAGGTGGGTGGACAATATTAGAACGGATCTTAGAGATAGGATGGGACGGTATGGATTGGATAGATCTGGTTCAGGATAGGGACCAGTGGAGGGCTCTTGTGAACATGGTGATGAACCTTCGGGTTCCACAGAATGCTGGAAAATTCTTGAGTAGCTGCAGAATTGGCGGCTCCATAAGTAAGTAAGTAAGTAATAACAACTTTGATCAGCCAGAACCGCCTACTGAATAAAACTAATACATAGTCATAGAAATCAGTCATTTTTATCTATGAAAAGACTTGCATTTATTTAAAAGATAATTATAATTTACCATATGCCAAAAATTACTTAAAATCACACATCACTGGAGATTTAAATGTAATTATTTTCATTTGGGTACTATGATATTGTGAGATAACTACTTATCTACTGTCTGTTGCATGGTAATGGCTGACTAAACATGTAACAAAGCCTGCCCATTTATGGGCAAAGGCTCATACAACAGTTAGACACATGAGTGTTCTCTGTAAGGTCTTTGCTGCATTATATCATGAGAGCTCAGACAGGGAATTAGTTAAAGAAGTCATACAAAATCATGAGAATGAACATGTTTGTAATACAGGACAAGACGAACCTAGACATAAAAAAAATAAGAGGCTTAAACTTGGTGGTGGTCAAGCTTATGACTGTTCAAGTGACTAAGCTGTCTTTGTAGCATAAGATACATAAGATTGGCATGATCTGCTTTGTAAAACTTGTACTGACAGAGAACTTCTATATAGTGCAAAAGTAAGAAATTTCAAAAACGTGGTATATGTGCAATATGTACACTTGACGAAAGGCCAAGCATATTAATAAGAGACAAACCCATCTTCTCATCAGAGAGGATGTTACATAAGGACTATTACTGCAATGGTTCAGTCGAAAAGAAAGTCTCTGGTCATGGGTCTCAACGGCCCTGATGCCAAGGCAAACTGATTGGCAGTAAACTGCCAGTTGTAAAGTAACTCTGACTTTGACTTTGGAATTAGTTGGCTGCAGTGAAGAATGGACAAAGTTGCCATCATGGGTTAGGTGCAAGAGAGTAACCAATATGTAAGGATGTGAGCATGGAGGCAAAGGACACTGTTGGGATCCATTACCAGAAAACGACAGGTGCAGACACAGAAAACTGGGAAGACTTAGTGTGTGCTATAGTACATTGTAAAGTGTATAAATCAGTTAGGCTGTTAGAGTTACCTGTAGTTATGAGTTGTAAGAGTTTAATAAATCCAATTACCAATCTAAATCCCTTGTATAGTTACTAACACGTGACAGTATAAAGAAAAAGTTTTTAGAAAAAGGCCTCTCATTCCAAGTATCCATTTAAAAACAATCCTTTTCCATAAATCATGTTGAATATTAGATGTTGGTGCCATAACATTATTCAATTTTGAGATTATACTCGTAATGCTTTAGTCGTCTTTTCTTTCGTTATGTGCAATCCAGTTCTGTTTACCTTGAAAGCAATAACCTCTGCAGTTTGAAGCCAGCCAGCAGGCTGCAAGTTCAGTCATAGGGCAGGTACCTATCACAGCCTCTAGGCAGGTTGTGTGTGCCAGCAGTTCCTCTAAAACCTATACAGGAATTACTACATATCCCCATCATCAGGAACTCTTCAATTATAACATGCTGTAATTCAGGCAATGAGTTGCTGGCTCTTCACCACGAGATCCAGATTCTATATAGAGAAATTCATGAGGGATTTTGGTGAATAAACTGGCATTACAGCACGTTTTTCTGTTTTCCTTGCCAATTATGATTCCACCAATGCTCCTTACTCTCACTCATCATCTGGGGTTGGTACAATTGCCCATTTGCAGCTGTCATACCAACACACTCAGCCTCACTCACTCCAAGATTTAATTATTAATGCTTTGCAAAGCATATAGTACAACTATTTGTAGCTTTTACAGTTCTCAGTTTAAAAATATATACAGTAGGACTATAAATTAAATACATAATTACCAAAAACAAATGGAAACAAAAATGATGTATATGAAGTTTAAATATTTACTATGATACAGAATAACTAAGGATGGAGTTTTTAATTTTGTTTTGTTTCATGTTTAAGAACTACGAAGAGTTTAAAAAATAATTGTTTAGTCACAAGTATACTATACCTGAATATCAATAGCTGCATTTCCTTCTTGCATCAGGTCATTCAGAGCTGACGCAGTCTCTGGAAGAAATATGGCTGACTCATTCTGTTCCTTCCACGTGACGCACAAAACTCGAGACACTGCAGCATGTACTTGCTCTTCACTCACCTCAGTACACGAGCTAGAGGTCTGGTCAAGCAAATCAATATTTAACAGAAATACTGCTATGATTCAAAACTTCTGTTAATATGCAATAATATTGGTATCACAGTTTTTAGTATCTGTTGTTTGGTAAAAATACTACCTCCTGCCTTGCTATTAACAGTAAAAAAAATAATACCAACTTTGAAGAAAACTATTTCTGATCAAACTAGATGCAAAAATTGTACATAAAACAATTGAGGTACATACACAAGGTGTATAAACATGATGTTATTTGTATAAATTAAAGTTCTCACAGCACTGATTATGAAGAGTTCTGTCTTCTGGGAAATAACATATTGTAGTCCATTGAAAGTCAACCTTAGGAGGAACATCCTTGCAGTATGCTTCATGCTGGTTTCTTGCTTCATTTATTCTTCAACCCTGAAGACAGAGGCGACATATTCCTCCAAAATATTGATTGATTTTCAACGGACTGCATGGCATTACAACCCAGAGGATAGAACTCTCGAAGATAATATTTGTTTCAATGGGTAATAGACTCTACTTCTTTTGGCTTATTTTGGACTTCACCCATCGACTGGTATGTAAAAGACAAAAGACCACGGCGTTTCGGAGACTGGATCTGTCTCTGTCTTCAGGTGGATAGGGAAGGATAAACCTATTCACTGGACCAGTGATTGAGGCTAGCTCTTTCTAATGGGCCCAACTGAGTAGGTTTATCCTTCCCTATCAACCTGAAGACGGAGACAGATCCAGTCTCCGAAACGTCGTGGTCTTTTGTCTTTTACATACCAGACGATGGGTGAAGTCCAAAATAAGCCAAAAGAAGTACAGTATAAACCATCGTCAGAATCCTTTCAAGTCTACCCCGGTAATAGACTCCTTTCACAACATAAGAACACAAAAATGTTGACTACCTCTGTGGATTCTGGTATGATACATCCCCTAACAAACTCTCACAAATTCATAACTAAAGAAATGTGATTCCCAGGGTCATAGGTTCTCCAAGACTTCACAAGCCCTCCCTGAGAGCAATCTTGTATTAAAATAATAAAACACTGACTTAGAGACTCAGTATTTAGAACTACTTCCTAAAGAGTAGCAAGTTTGTCTTTAATATTATTTTTAAAATCACAGTAAAATAAATCCCATGCCTTTCATCCTTTCTGGAACCCTACATATACATTATTTAAATCTGTAAAATGCCACATTCAAATCAACATTCAGGTTTTGAAACTACATCTATTATTCTTACTGGTTAGTTCACATCAGTCCCTAATAGACAACTGTGTGACTGGAACATATAGTTGTCTTCTACAATTATGTCTACAAACACACTTCCTTTAGCATGTGCACCTCCATTTACCCATTATTCAATTTTATGCAGCAATCACCAGGAAACACAAAGAATATTTAAACTACATGGAAGAATACATTTTAAAATAAATATGGTACTTACATATTAATAGGTAATCCAAGTAACTACAAAATTTTACTGCCATGTTGCCTGCCACATTATCATTACCAGCTGCAGAAGTTTTATTTGAAAAAAAAAAAACTAACCTAACCATACAAGGATAATCACAAGAGGCATATTACAAACAGCCACTGAAGATAAAACTGAAATATACATACTGATGAATCAAAGACAAAGTAAGCTTGCTAAACCTGTAAGACAATAATGTAGTGGAAATAACTGATTTGCAACTCACCCTGTGTCTGTCGCCAGCTTCTTTGCGATCAGTTTCCTCAACTTCCATGTTTTCTATACCAGAATCCACATCAACCTGTGATACTGAACTTTTCTCACATTGTGAATCATCTACTTCCATCTGTGATGAGGTGTCTGTGCTTTGTGAATCACTTTTCTGGGTGCCCAATGGGGGTGGCATTGCTGTAACAGCATGTTTAAAAATTATGACAAATTATGAAGCAATAAAAAATATATAAAGTTTTTTTAAACAAATAATTCCATAACAAACCAATTTCGATGTTAAGCTGTGATGGACCTGGTGCTGAAGGAGAATTTGGCACCCCAGCATTTGGAGATGGAGGAGCTAACTGACCAGGTGAAGAACTGGCACTAATATCCAAGGCTGCTAATCTTGCAAGCCTTCGGCGCCGAATCTATAATAGAATATGAAAGAGCTCAAAACAAATAATGAAATACTCAACAATTGCTTTGACCCATGGAACAAACTGACATACACATTTAACAAATAACCAACACCTTAACTACTATGACGAATTCGAAATGCTAATTGAAAGTCGTTTTGTATTCACTTAATTCGCAACCACCTGCATATTTAATAACTACAACGACCACTGGAATTTGCAAATCATGATGCGTTCCTAACCAATGCTTCCTTTGTATACCATAGCTGTGCTTTCCACGGACAGGATTCTTAAAAATTACAAATAAAAGAGAATAATTACCTCTTCTTGGCTTAGCTCACTCATTATAATATCGGAAGGACAGACCCACTTTTTTACAGCACCCTTAGAACTTCAAAATGTGAACTATGTAACATAAACGTAAAAAAGACCTGAACTGCCTTCCCTAAACATACGTCAAGTCCGTCAAGTCACTGGGCCCTCTGCATCAATTGTTTGGCGACTGTCTTGCTTCCACTTGACGTCACAAACCAGCTGTTTAGCAGCGCCTCTTCGGATTGTAGATGGTGGTCACCGTAGTCACCGGTAGTCACCATGGTCACCATCGTCATCAAGGAAGCCAACTTACAAATATATCAGGCGTAGTTCTCGTTCGTAGATATTGTGGTTGAGGTGTAAAACATTTCTCTTGTCCGCTCCGGCTGTTGGTAATAGGTCGAGTTAATACGTAGTTGAAGACGTTGAAGATTTGATAAAAAAAAGAAAAAAATGTGGACAGCCAAAGTCTTCGCATGATTGCATCTACCAAATTCGTGATATGCAGGTTATGTATGACTCCACAACCGATTTTCCTGCTTGAATTCTTCGTAAATTTGATGGACACTGTTTAATCATTTGCCCTGAAAAGAGTAAAGATATTTTCATGAATATTTTATAAATAATCCCAAGAAACAAAGTAGTTAATTCTAATTTGGATCTTTATTGGAGGTTGAGTTCCACTGTTGAGAATTATAAAGGGCAGGATTGACAATCAGGTCACGGGACAACAGATAACGAGTCTTATTATCTGCACATCATCATCGTTGGATAGGGTATCTACGGGTTTCTTGAGGATATGGATGTTACTGTTGTTGACTTTGTGTCACTTGGTAAGGGTTATAAACATATTTACATTAAGTGCGTCAACTATCATCCTTCATTTATTGGTGAACATTAGTATTTTCTCTGTATTGTCAATGTGGGTTCCTTTTGGATGTAACGATATGTTTTGGGATTGGACTTTAATAAGGTTCTGAAGGATGTTATAATTCGATTGGAGTATTGGTGGCAATCACCCATTGTTGTATTTTACGTTTATTTACAGTTACACATAACGAATTATTGTAATCCGCCCCATTCCTTAATGTCACCGAATTTTCGTTTTATTGTAGCTTACAAATCCCAATACAGGCATAAGGCATATGGTTTCCAGAGAGCAAAAATGTGCTTTTTTTTTTTGAAAGGTAGTTGCACTACAGTGTTAAGTAATAATGTTCTTTTGTTTTTGTTTTTAAGATTTAGCTACTCAAGACTTTATTAGAGAAGGCGTGTCAGCTCGCAAATTGGCATATTGTCCATACAGCAAATTCCAGGTTGGAGCAGCTCTGCTCTGCAGTGACGGCACAGTGTTTACAGGATGCAATGTAGAAAATGCATCTTATGGAATTTCAATATGTGCTGAGCGAACAGCCATTGTGAAGGCTGTTAGTTCAGGAAATAAAAGCTACAAAGCAATCACTGTATCTGCTGATAACGGAGATACTTTCGTCCCTCCTTGTGGTGCTTGTCGCCAGTTTATTGCAGAATTTGGTTTGGAAACTGTTGTATACCTTGCGAAACCTGATTTATCCAAAGTGCTTATAACTTCAGCTAAACATCTTCTGCCCCTGAGTTTTAAATTTTGAACTGACATGCACTTTTGTACGACTGATGCTGACTGGTCTGTATTTCATTCAGTTAGTACCGTAATTGTAGGGTTATAATTCTGTGGCTTGGTACAAGAACCCTGTAAGCAGCTTAAATGCATCTGGGAGAAAGTGTGGTTTATAGGTAAGTTATAAGAATTTGTATGGGCGTCAAGATACATTTTGTCATACTTACATAGTAGCTTCACCTAGAATTGCAGTGCATATGATTTGGTGTAAACTCTAGGATTATTAAAAGGAACACAAACAATTACATGGTTCTTGCACACTGGCCTGAATTATGCAGGAACTATATCTGTGAAATTAAAGGAACATTTATTGAATTACAGCATAAATTGGATTATATTTTATATATATATGTTTTATGAATCTTCAAGTTTATCACTGTCATTATACAATTTTGGGTTACCATAGCAACAAACTGTTGAACAGTAAATTTTGCTTGAATGTAAGTTAGGAGTAGTGATAATATTTTGATGTGGATATATAAAGTGTGGTGCACTATATAAAGGAGGAGGAGACAGTTTATCTGTGCATGTAATTCATGGGAGATTGTGTCAATATCATCCTTGACTCATCACTCCCTAGCACATAGGCCAGGAAAGAAATTTGGGAGAAAGCAGGATAAGTTAATATAATGAAAGCCTCAATAACAAACAGTGAGACTTCCCACTGAATTCTCAACTCATCTTACACTAGTTAACCCCTCCTCCCAAAAAGATTACTGTATATCTTATCAGCTTATCAAATATGAAACTACAGCATTAAATACATTAGCATTACTTATTATTTCACATCAGAATCACTACAAGCTCAATTTGAAACTTAGATTAGCAATTGCTACTTTTCTAGGTCTAGTTTTCTTCTTGGGTGTATCAACTTCCAGTAGTTGACTGTTAAAAGTCATCGTGAACTTGCATATTTTTCACAACATATATCAAGTCAACAAGTTTTGTTGATGAGCCACTCTGTCCTTTACCTGCATCAGGGGAGATGGGCAGTACCTGCCCTGTCTGTGACACTTCCTATCATTCCTCCAGCAGATTGTGTGTATAGGAAACAAAAGTAGTTGCCAGGAGTATCTCATGCTGCTCTGAAACTTCTAGCACACTGGCAATGGAAATCTTATCCTGTTGTTACACTATGGGACACAAGTTTATGTTAACATATATACAAGGTTTTTGTGGCAGTGAATATTAAGATTATGACCTGGAATTTGATGCTATATATTCTGCTAGATCACACAAAGGCTATGGTAATATAAAGGAAAACTGACATTTTAAATTAGTTCTGATGTGCTGATTCCAAATCTGGACACAAAAAAATTGCAATCACATCACAGTTTAGTATGTTAAATTTCAAACCAAAATAGTGTGATTTTTGCTTTTAATTTATTTCGTGGTGTCTGTTTTGGAAGAACTCAGAGTTGGTATTTACCAACTTTCTGTTGTACTTCCAGCATTAAACAAACTTTTGTCTTTCACCCTGATGACTTACTCTTATTTGGAGTTCCCATCATCTTATATCACACCTATGGGGTGCAGTAGACATACAGTACTTTCCTTTGTCAGTATCCCTGAAGTCTGTCATTATCCAAGAAACAGTGGTAAGGAAGAGAAAGCTTCTGTTTCAGAAAAATGTTTGCTTCCTTCATACCAGATGGTAGCATAGTTTTGTTTCCTATTCTGCCTGCCACTAGAATCACATCACACAATTATATTTTTCTTCTGAGGTTTGGAATTCACTGTCTAGCTAAGCTAAATACAAAAATACCTCAGAAGATGCAGGACCAGCTTCCATCTTCTGGTCACACTGCTTCATAACTTCCGCTCCATTCTAGAATTCACAGATTTTTGGTCCATAGTTTTCTAAGAGTAAAATATCACATCATTGTTCAGATGTGTTGTAGAATCTACCAAAGACTGAAGTTGATGTACTATCTTTTTGTTTTCCTCATGAGCCGATTAAACTTTCTGCAATGAAGATTCTTATCCTTTTCAAGTTTTATTTTCTAAACATCAATACTCTGATTAATATTCTTAATTGATCATATATATTACATGTCTAAACTTGGGTGCCTAAAATGAAGATTGAAGAATGTAACAAGTACCTGTCCAAGTACTGATATCACAGGTTCCTCTGTAGTGTGTATGATTTTGTGAGCATATATGACACATTTTTGTGTTGTCAGATATCCCCTGTGTGGGTTAGGTCACATTTTGCTCTCTATAAATGTAACATTGATACATTCATGTATACTTTTAGAGAATTCTTTCTTTACCAGTCTTTCCCTTTGCCATTTTGTTGAAAATGGACAGATGTGGATTTCTTGCATTAAATGTAAGGCAGGATGTAGGTACCAAGTAAGTCTTCTACCATAAACTGACAAACTATGGTTTCAATAGCTTGTCACATTTTTCTCTTTTTTCTAACTGGTTTGAAAAATAACATTCACAAAGTAAAATATATACTACATGAAAGATAGCAGTTTACATAATTTTACTGATTAGCAAAAGCTCCAGATCAGTCTTTTAGCTACTTTGCTTCTGTGATTGATGATCTGTGGTTTGTGGTTCAATTCTGATTATATAAGAGGATATATTATGTTTTGAAAACATGCTCCAAATTTAACATGTAATAATCTATCAGTGCTGCATAACCTATGCAGTTGAAAAGGTGTGGGTAAATAACCCCAAAAGCACCCAGTTGCACCAACTGTAAACATACCGTAACTAACGATCAACAATATGTATGGTTTCTTAACTTAAAATATAATGTAAACACAGCATATACATGTGCAGTTATTGTACAAAAGGTTTTAATTAAGACATTTATATAGAAATATACATCTGATGGAAATAATTTTTCTGAGTTTCGTTTGTGGCATATGTAGTGCCATCAACTCTGCAGAACAGAAATACTTTTGTTAAATGACTGGCATGTCATTAACTGTAACTGGTATCTCTGTATATTTTTATTTGTGCCAAATTTCTAAGAAAAAGAGTTTTTAAAACAAGGTTCCTATTCCATAAAATAGTAATGAAATTTCTAGTCTGATTATTGCCGAATTATTGTTAAAAATATCAGATAAATATGATAATCTTATTTTGTCAGTGCTAAATGTGATGCTCTGAAAATAATCTTTGTATCATGTTTATGATAACCAAGTATTATATATTTCAGTCCATTAAATTATTTATATATAATCAAGACTGATTAATTCGCAAGATTTTAAACTTGAAGTTCCTTCACTGTATTTTTCTATTACTATTACTGTATGTGCCAAAGGTGATACATTACGTGAAAATGCCTCTACATATGTATATATATATGGTTATTGTACAAGAAATGGTGAAAGTTTTAATGATTTGTTATGTACGGTTTTTGACAGTAGGATGTGTCAGTCAATTATTGTGCCTTTGTAATTTATAATGAAATATATACATATGCAATGCATAACTAATTTCTTGCATGTTGGATTTGAGGTTCTCATGGCAGTAACTATGAAGGGTGTATTCTGGGTTGTACTGCTGTGTAATTAGGAGACAGCCCAAAATTTTGGAGGAACATATTGTCTCTGAAACTTTGGACTGCCTCCAATCTACACAGCAGTACAACCCAGAGGACTGTACTCTTCAGTTAACCATTTAAAATAAAGAAACAGGTGACAAAATGTAACTCAAATTTATATAGAAATACAGTGTTTGAGAACAGGGTGCTAAGGAGAATATTTGGACCCCACATGGAGAAAGTGACAAGACTCTGTAGAAAATTATGTAATGAGAAGATGCATAATTTGTACTATTCACCAGATATGATGATGATCAAATCTGCCAGGATGAGGTGGGCACAGCATGTAGTATACACAGCACAGATGAGAAATACATAACAAAATTTTGGTAAGAAAACGATCACTTGAGAAACGGGAGAATATAAAGTGGGCCTTAAAAATATGGTGAGGTTACGGGACTGGATTTATCTGGCTCAGGATAAGTTCCAGTGGCAGAATCTTGTGGGCATGGTAATGTACCTTTTTGTTCCATAAAAGGCAGGGGAATTTCTGCAGTAGCTGAGCAACTATCTTTCCAAGGACTCTGCTCCATGGAATTTGGTGCAGCAGTAGAAATACATTTTGAATGAACAGAGTTTTATGATAAAACAAGCAATACTTCATTCTGAAAGCTTAGTTTCAAAATATTTCTGAATGTGCCAATCACCCTTATGAGCTCTCAGATTTGGAAATGATGTTCTAGAGCATGGGTGATCAAGTTGGACAGTGAATCCTTTTTCTTATTTTAATGCTGAGCATTTCTAAGAATATTAATAATAATAATAATAATAATAATTAAGTCACCACCATGAGGTGGCTTACAAAATGGATGAGTGGGTGATCTGATGGATGAATCCTCAGGTTGTATGGGGAGATAGTCGAAGATGGCGATGAAACAGGTGATTTCAGTGGCAGAGAAGAAATTTATATCAAATAGATGGCCTCACTGTATCACAAAAGAAGAGGTGATAATATTTTTACTTTTGTGTTTACATAACATTCAATCTTTATATCTAAAGTTCTTACCAAGCATGATTATTAAACAGTATACAACATATATGCACTACTAATTCTAACATAGGTTTGTACCATATTTTATTACAATTTATCAAACAAAAGGAAATAATTGGGGCATAACAGGTAAATCTGTATTAACCTGTAAGAATGATCAACTAACAAAAAACGTTTTTGTTCCTACCACAACTATGACCATTCAAAGAAATGTTTTAAAAAATGCATAAAAGTAGCAATAACACTGAAAAAGTTTACAAGCTTCTAGTTCAGAAACTAACAACATACATAGGTATTTACGAGGGGAAGTCAATAATTATCCGCAACGCAGTTGTATTTGTGTTTCTGTTGGCAGCACTGTCATTTTGCACAGCATCACCATGCGTGGTTTCCTTGTCATTATTTCTGCGCAGGTTTGATGTTGCTAGGTCAGTTCCATCATCACTGCCTTGCCGTTAATCATGGCTGCTCCACTTTCTGTTTACGCCAAAGAGCAACGTTCAGTGATCTGGTTTTTGTGGTCGGAAGGTGTATCAGGGGCCGCAATCCATCAAAGACTTTTAGCATAATACAGGAACAATGTTTTGACGCAACGGAGTGTCTACAAATGGATTGAAAAATTAAAAAATGATCGCACAAGTGTTACGCATGAGGAAGGAGCCAGACGACCATCCACGGCCACAAATGAGGACAACATTGAGCGTGCACATGACAGGGTTCTGTTAGGCAGACGAGTGACTATTGATGAAGTGGCAAATCATCTGCAAATTAGTCATGGTTCTGCCTACGAAATCATCCACAACAGACTTGGGTTTCATAAAGTCTGTGCAAGATGGGTCCCAAAACAACACACAGTGTTGTATAAACAAACGCGCGCTTGGACATCTGCCAACAACACTTGGATCACTATGGTAACGAACGTGACGTCTTCTTAGAGAGAATCATCACTGGTGACGAAACATGGATCCATCATTGCGAGCTGGAGAGTAAATGGCAGAGTATGGAATGGAAACATCCACAATCACCCAGCAAGAAAAAGTTCAAAAGCCAACCATCTGCAGGAAAACTGAGGCTTACAGTTTTTTGGGACCCACAAGGCCCAGTACTGGAACATTATCAGGAGAGGGGCACAACAATAAACAGTGCTCATTACAGTGAGATGCTTACTGACAGGCCTGCAATTCGAAGCAACTGTCGAAAGGTGTTGTGTTGTTGCACGACAATGCCCGTCCACATACTGCTGCCCACACTGCTGAAACCCTTCAGAAACTCAAGTTTGATGCAATGGCTCATCCTCCGTATAGTCCTCATCTCGCCCCTTCTGATTACCACTTGTTTGGTCTACTCGAAGAGGCATTAAGGGGCCGTCGATTCACCTCGGACCAAGAAGTGAAGGAAGCGGTGCTTGCGTGGCTCGCTGCTCAGCCAAAAACCTTCTTTTCTGAAGGCATCAGGAAGCTTGTGCAATGATGGACCAAGTGCGTTGAAAAGCAAGGGGACTATGTTGAAAAATGATGTTAATGTAAGTTTTCTATTTGTATTGAAATCAAATTTATAGCTATACTGCGGATAATTATTGACTTACCTACATATAATACTGTGCAGTCTGTTAAACATCAACTGAAGTTTCATAGGAATATGTCACCTCCATCTTCAGGGCAAAGAATAAGCCAAGTAAGAAACCTGGTTTCAATGGACTACATGAAATTATATCCCAAAAGACAGAACGTGTCGTAATCATATACACATTTACTCTGAAGGATCACGTGTTGACAGTCCCGACTAAGAAGTCTTACACTATATTCATAACTTGTTAAGTTGCATCTTCTGATTGATGTTTATATTCAGTGCAACACACAGTGAGAAGCTTCACCAAAATGGACACCTAGAAATTATTGGAAAAAATAGTTTTAGTTACATTAATGTTTTATATTTGACCATGGGTGTGAATGGCTTTTTAGAACTAAGATGGTCAGATCAGTAGGGAAGCCTTGGGGAATGACAAAACACATATTAAAAGAAAATTATTAAAATGTTGGCTAGTTCTGGCCTACAGGTATCATTGCTGAAAATGAAAATTATGTCTTAAGGCAATGGAGATAGCTTCCTAAAAAATCAAGCACTCTGGAATGAAGTAGACAGTGTAACCAATTATGAGTGTTCACTGTGCCTGACAACACCAAAACACACAGACTTTTACCAAAGGACATGTTGCAAGATCCAGCTGAACAGATGCCACGATGATCTACATACAAGATGTACTCCATCACCATCCTGTATCACTCCATTTTTAAATGTATTACTTTACACACAGACATATGAACAAGCTTTAAATAATTTATGTACAGCTAACGTAAAGTTTCCTTGTATAGAATGTCTGGATGCCCCTGAATATAGCCACACATAACTGCAATATGTTGGGCTTCATGATAACTTTTTTATTAATAAGATCAGTTGCACTAGATGGAACCTACAAATTCAGCTAAGTGGTTAGTGTCTACCCTCATTTTCAACCCTCTTGAATCATTGTGGGATCTGGAACTCCGGTAATCTGACTGTCCCACAGGTGAAAGATAGGGAACTTGTACAGTGATTCACTGGATTCAACCACTCCTTTGCCACTGAGTCCAGTGGCTTACCCCTAGACCACAAAGTCCTTGAGTAAGGAAAACTCTCACACCATCCATGAAAAGAAATGATACTCACCAGCCAATGTAACACTGGCAGAGGTTCTCATTAGATGTAGCCTGCTGGATCAGTAAGTCCACCTGTTTCTGCACTGTAAGTGTTTCCTCATTCAGAAAGTCTCGTCCTGTCAGCTTCTCTCTCACTCTCTTAATAATAACCAGCGCCTTCTTATTAAGAGCCTCTGGTTGGCTGCCATCTCCTGCAATTAACATTTAAGAATTAACAAGAGAAAGATCCTTTTTCTTACTTAACAATGAATAATTACTGGTGTGATTTTCATCTGTGACAACATAGAAAGGCGAAGGAACAACATACTCACACAGGGATACCTCTACTTACGAACTTTCATGAAATGAACAATTCGTATTTACAAACATTGCATTGACTAATAAACTGTGACTCCAAACGCATTCACCGAACACAGAACCCTGCACTTACAAACATTAACAAATTTAATGATATATCTTACAAAAATAATTATTCAACTTAGGAACATACAACTTATAAACAAATTTCAAAGAACACAATATAAGTTGGGGTTCGCCTGTACAATATTACAATTATTATATAAATGTTGCACATACCAGGTTTCATCAAAATTTAGCAAATGACCCAGAAAACGCACCTTAAATGATCCTAATTAAACCTAAATCAAAATGGCTCGACAAACTTTGGTGTATGTCTATCATACTAAGTTTGTGCAAAATCAGTCTAATTTGGGCTGGGTTGTGTGGAGATGAATGGCTGGACAGTAGATATTAGCATGAGTTTTTAAACTTATTTTCCAAAATGCATGTAAGAATAAACTAATATTTCAGATCACAAGTAGATCTTGAAGATATTGGGTCAGAAGTTGTACAAGGGGTGGGCCTTCTCGGCCCTTGCACCGCGACCTACAGTGATCTATTGTGCCTTGGGTCAGAAGTTGGTGGGGAACTAGTTTTAAACAATATGACAATCCCATATGTTCTGGAAGTGGAAATTTGTATTTGGTGCTACTTCGAATAAATACAAAATCTCACCTCCATTCTCCACACTGCTAGGAGCTCCCTTCTTAGGTACAGCAGCACTAAGGCTGCCCCCACTGTCCAAGATATCTCCATGTTCTTGTGAGGATGATGAAATGGAAGAATCAGTCTGTGCCTTTGATCGTTTGGCTTTAGGTGCTGCACTGTCCATGAGACGCCAGTTGAGCAGCGGGTCATACACAAATGCCTCCAGCACAGCCATCAGACTGTCTTTGTTCCGATGCAACACTGACATGACAGACTCACATGTTCGTCTGTATGTTCCTTCAATGCCAGTCACCTAAACAGAATGCAAACAAACAAACAAAGTCCGTGGCTTTAGTTTGCAAGCAAACTATACCAAGTGACCGCTGCTTGTCAGCGAAATTACTGCCAACTTTAGCAGATAGAGGTGTCACGTGGTCAGCACCATGAATCCCCACGGCCATTAATTTCGATTTTCTAGACAGGTGCCGTTACTTTCCCATTCAAGTAGCTCTCAATTATCCTCATGAAGCTGATGGACCCTGTTCCAGACTCACTACTTAACCTTAATGGAATAGCTAAATGAAATTGTAGGTTTGCCAAATTACTTCATTCAATTTATAGTTTATACCTCAAGAATTAATTACAAATTTGTCTGTAGTGTTATACTTACAAAAGCCGATGATAATTCAGCCTCAATTTTCTGTGTTTTTACCTTTGTGTACATGCTTTGATTTCTATCTTGTTGTGCATACCTGTTTTTCTGTTTCCTTTATACAGGGTGTCCCAGGAGGAATGGACCAAACTTCGGGAGGGTGTTCCTTATGTTAAAGTATGCCGATATAACCCAAAACACCTATGTCCAAAGTTGAACGGTTACGGAGATAATGGCCAGAGAAGTATCAAACTTTGACCGGCGTTGCACACTTGTTGATTACAAAATACATATTAAAACTGGCAGGAATATGTGGATTCTGTAATGTTAATAATGTACGTAACATCAAACTAACTTGTGAGTGACATGAAGCCATAAAATTGAAGTACAAAATACTCGCTCGCCATGTCATAATTGTCCTTAGGGTTTCCAAGCACTATACATGACACATGAATGGCAAGCGCTGACGTAACGTGGTGACTGCGCGTTCTGGTATAAGCCAACTACATAAGCACGGCTAGGGTGAATCATCGCACTCAAGGACAAACACAGATAAGGCCTCTCAGCTGAGAGGTACAGTGCGTGGACCTGCCAGAATACCACACTTTTCTTGGGCCATTATCTCCATAACCGTTCAACTTTGGACATAGGTGTTTTGGGTTATATCGGCATACTTTAACATAAGGAACACCCTCCCAAAGTTTGGTCCATTCCTCCTGGGACACCCTGTAGTCTGCACTTACCTCCATTGCATTAATCAGCATTCTTGTAAGCCTGAAGGGAATCTTTTCTGGAAATTTCTCTCTGGTCATTGCCACTTCAAAGCAATCACCAAAATCAATATGTAGAATTTTACCACTTAGACGATCTAACATCAGATTTGAGGGATGTCTGCAAACAAACATCTGAACTGAAATTTTAAAGGGTCTTGTGAACTTCGCAAACAAAGCAATCAGGAAAATACTTCAACCTAACAGGGATAAAGTAAGTGGGACTTAAGACGCTGCATAATAAGGAACAAACTGTGGAATGGTTATTCTTGAGACACTAATAGTTGCTCATGTGGCCAACATATATCCACTCTTTCATGGAACCTGAAGGTTCACTGTGTTCACAGGAACCCGCCACCTGTCTCTTTCCATGTGCCAAATGAATCCAATCCACACTTTATGACTTATGTAGGTCATTTAGTACTCTCAGGATAGTGAAATATAAATTATGATTAGTCAGACATTTAGCTTGCATGAGAAAGGCAACAAAAATTAATAGATTTTTGGTGGGAAAACCTCCTGGAAACCAGCCACTTAAAAATCAAGAAGATGGGATAGTAACATTAAGAAGAGCGGCCTCCGTAGTCTAGGGTTAACATTCCCACCTCGTGACTCAAGGTATGTGGGTTCAAACCCAGCGGAGGTCGTGGAATTTTTAAGGGCGGAAAAATTCAGGGAACAAGTCCTCCGGGAGGGACTTTAAGCTGTGGGTCCCGTGTCGTAGCTTTACGGCACGTAAAAGAACCTCATGTCCCAAGGGGACCTCTGAGCCAAATTCAGGACATTTCCCACCCAACAGTAGTCTCTAACGCCTCTGGTAGATTGGGGAAGCATCGAGATACCGCTGAGCCAGTAGAGGCCGAACTCGCTGGCTGAGTCTGGACTGATGGCACGCACCAGTACCGGTAGGGTATAGAGACTGGTAGAATATCACAGGGGGACACACAATGGACCAACAGTTGGTCTAAGTGCATGGGGAAACCCACCCTCTCCAACAACAACAACAACAACATTAAGAAGCATCTTAAGAAGATAGGTTGTGGGTTCTGGATAATGTTCAATGGCAGATTTTGGTGTTAGCTGTTAAGCTTTATTACAGTGCGTAATTCTACAACTAACCGAATCAACAATGCACTACAGCAGTTACTTCAAAAATGTCAATCACCTGTCTCCCAGCCCAAGTATATATCCCACCATTGACATGACAGCCAATGAGCGCGTGTAGTTTGTCCGGCGGTCAAACCAAACCTCTGAAGATGGTGATTTGAGCCATAAGAGGCGGGACAAGTCATCACCCTGTGTATGTTCCAGAGCATGTTCAAACACTTCAACCTTCTGCATAAGTGTCAGGTGATCATAGTCAGGAGCCATCTGCAAAATATTACTGTGTATTAACAACTAAGAAATATGTTAAATCTGACTGGCAATATATTTTATTTTGCATTTACATGCACTCTTTGGTGGTCACAAAGTCAAAATGGAATAAGATCTCAAAGTTTGTGATGATGGTACATTAATACAATGACCTATTTTCTGGACATTATCCATCTTCCTAGTTTTTTATATGAAATGTTTTGGATAAAGGACTCTGCCTCCATCACGTACTATGCAGGTGATTTTATTCAATAATTATTTGTGCTGGTTTATCTGTTGTAAGGTTCTTACTGGTAAATAGGAAATTTTACCTACTTGAATTTTAATCTTCTGCATTTGTTGGGTTTATTTGCATTCTACTGTTGTTTTATTAAATCATTTAAAGGTTGAGAGATTAAGATCTGACGCTTTCATGGCAGCTAAAGTTGATAAAATCTTGTCAGGCTATCAGAAGCATCAATAATTTTTAACCAACTGACATGGCTGACAGCCCAAGAAGATTGTGTCAATAGATTAAGTTATATATTTAAAAAAGAGACAGAGGAATTAATATACAGTGGCATATAGACCGGTTACTAGGCAAAGGCCTCAAAATAAACAACTAGCACAGCTGTTACTATGCAACAGATGAATAAACAAATAGCCATTTCTGAGCAATGACTCGGTAAACACATTCTATGCGGTCTGTGCCGAAGAGTTATAAGAAGACAATTGGGGCAATCCAGTTCAATTTTCAGCTGAAAGCCTGTGAAGAGAAAACTATGAGGTTCATATGAAATGGCCGCCATCCTGGGATCCAGTTAACTGAGGGTTGGCAGTTCAGTTGAGCTCTGCAAGGGAGGCTAAGAAGAGATGGCGATCCTCTTAGTTAAGAGTTGAAAGTCTGGCTGTGAAGAAGAGTCAGTTGCAAGAGTGCAGCTGTGAAAAGAAGACTTTATGTGTGCTTTAGTTACAGTGAGACTATTATAATTACTGTGTTAAAAATGTTGTCAGGATATGACTAGTGAAGCGTGGCAAGGCTTAGCAGGTGCTGTGGTGATTTGTTAAGTGTGGACATTAGCCATAATTATATGTAGTTCCAAGAGATGTGTAGAAGTGTGTCAATAAATCCAATATCCAATCTATACCTCAGTTATAGTCACACACCCCTAAATCATGGCAATATATTATGAAACTTATTTACAGGTGTCCTTTTTTAATTTGATTCATTGGTTTCATGTTCAGTTTTAAGCTGGGCTCTGGATTTATGGACTCTGGTTGGAATATTATGGACATCCAAGGGTGCAAGTTCTCATGTGTGGATGAGTATGTCTTTATCTTACCTTCCATAAGTAGTTTCTGTCTTGCTTGGTTTATATTGTATCTTGTGATTCTTCTGGTGTCTGGAGATAAAAATTAGATCAATTGGGCCCAAGAGAGCAGGCTGTTTACCTGAGGATGGAGACAGAACCAGTCTCCAAAGTGTCGT